CGAACGACAGATTCAGCTGTGTTCCAGGTGAGTCTCTCGAAAAAACCAAATTAGTTTGCAAATGAGTTTTTATTCGCGAATTTCGCGCAATTTAGTTCCAAGTAGAACATAAGGCTGACGTAAACCCGGGGAGTGCGCCTACCTGATGAGCCCCAGAAACGGCGAAACCGGTTGTGGGCTGTCGACGGATTTTCAGCAACCTTATGAGTAGTACATTACAAGTTGTTCACATGGTTGACTACAAGAGAGGAGAGATTATCTTGGATTGTGAATATGTGAATTTTCGTGGGTTGTGGAGTTGGACAGGAAGAGCGATAGAGCTAGATCGACTAAACACCAAGGACAGCGGTATTTCAGCGTGTGAATAGAGAGCTGCACAAACAAGATAAGTGCACTGAGAAAAACTGTTCAATGGGTAATAGTAATAACGTTCCACATGTTATTTGTTTTGTTTGACGACTTTCTATTTTAAAGACTGTGGGAAACATATCGCGAGTGCGAAATTTTTTGTCCATCCACACTACCCCATCCCTCCGACACGCTCAGACTATTGATAAAAGTACACACAGAAACCAGAACAGCTGAAAGACACATAAACGTCGATGAAACTCAACGTCAATATTGAAAAACAACGTACAGACAGTTCATGGTTTATTGTCCTTCCCATAAATAGTCAACTGCTTTTCCCGCAATCCGTTTTTGTTTGTGGATAGACATGGGTATTGCATCGTATACTCACAAATTCGGTACGCGAGCCCGAAGGATACAAGTTATCTTTTACCGTCTCTATTATTCAAGGATAATCCATTCACATGCCCTGAACAGTGTGAAGACGCTGCATACGTCGACCGATACATGATGAAGGATCGAGCAACAGAAATCATGACAAAAGGGAATTTACATGAGTTACTACCAATATCTGGTTGTAAGGTCAGGTTCATTGACCTTTGGTGAGTGGTCCCGTGTCCTGCATTCTCATTATTTATTCATGTATTCTGCACACGCATTGTCCGACCGAGTCCACCAATAGGCAGACTGATAGTCCGAACGGCTTGGACAACCATGCTCAACTCAACATACAAAGCAAGCATTTGTAGTTGTACCGGTTCAATTTGCCAGGAGTTCGACTAGGTATTGTAACAACAACGATGTCCACAGGTGATCGAGGGAACGTGATTCTAGAGCAGCCCAGAGCTTCGGGAAACTCATACAGAGCCTGGAACGATGGATTATGGGACTGTGGAAACAACTACACAAATTGTAAGCCTGTACTATTTTACCGTGCTGTTTGGTAACTCTACTTGTTTCATTTGTAACACATTAAATATTTAAATCATATAGTGAGTTTACACATAGGTTAAAGTGACACCATTGATGGTCGACCGCAAAAAATTGAGTCACACTAGATTGAAATACAAGAGTAAAACTTGAGAGTCTGTTTACGTTGGAGGATTTGTTAGAGATTTCGTGGATCAAGGCAACTTCAAACCCAACTTGGACAGATTTCGAAAAATACACTCAATTTTTTCTCCAGGGGGGACTCAAACAAATCTCTAGTTTATGATATTCTCCAACCGCTTCTTCGTGTGTTTCAGTTCGAGATATCGCAGTATATTTTCATAAAGAATGTACAACAATGAGATCCCTCTATGAAACTAAACAACCATAAAAAGACTTTTTTTCACGGAAACATCACTTTAGACACTTCTCAAGCGCAATTCGTTTCACATACATAGCGAATGAACCACAAACCATTGGTCACGTGAACCAGCTTATAGGCAACGCTGGGAGCAGGTCTGACCGGACATACACAGACTTGCCCTGACGTGTGTAGTATGGGTGTTGGGCAAGGTGAGAAAACAATCTTTTGCACATAATAACCTATTTCAATGGTGGAGGCCAGAATCACTTCAGCGCTTCGCAAAGGGAAGCCTGGATTCTGGCAAAACTGGGGATACTCGCCATAGACTAGATCAGCGACTTCAGAAGTTAGTTAGGTACATACTGTTTAAGTTTCCGTTCACACAGCCTATATCAATATACTGCGGGTGAAACAGTAGAACGCAGAGATGTTCCTATTGGAGATAAGGGAACGTTTTTGGCTGTTATTAGCCGACAGCACGGGCTGTTTAGAGCGATAGGTGTAAAGTTGCACCGTGAAAACTTGTGATCAACTGGCATGTTTCTAGTCTTGAAAAATAGTGATGTGAGTTCACTAGGTATTACATTACGTAACCTCAGTATGTCACCAAGCTGGACACCGTTTACAATCATCGCTCAAAACAATTGATAAGTGAATTGTAGAGTCTGAATGTTGTTAAATAAACCTAGTTTTTAGTATCAATTGAGTGTGTTGAAGTTAGTTATTTTTTTATGCTGCCTTCACAGTTGGCTCTATACATCTGAAAGCTGCCACATCTCTGGCGCTAACTATGGTTTCCGTCCTCAGGTTTTCTCACGGCTTTCTGCTACACTTGCATGACGTGTCATTTGTATGGGAAATACGGTGAAGGTTGCCTCACTCCGTGTATCGTCCCGATGTCTGCAATGGTACTGACTGTGCAACACCGCAACAGAAACGGAATTCGGGTAAGCTGATTTTATTCCAGTATCAAAGTTCTGCTGCCTATCCAAGTTAATTGTGTGGTTTGGTTGAAGAACTCCAATAATTTTGTACATTTGAAACATCAGACTAGGTATAGACGATGGTTCCGTCACTCATTCATTTGTTTTTTATTTACCTTAATTAGTCAACTCTGAGAAACTAAGTTTGGTCAACACAGTTGAATTTTGAACTTCAAAGGAACAAATTCGGGCATTGTTGGGTCTGCACTGCTCCACATACCACCCTGAACAAATCATTCTGTTCGGTTTTTCCTCAACAGGGTAACATCCTAGAAGATTGCTTGACGCATGCATTCTGCAGCCCTTGCGCTATATGTCGCCTGTATCGGGATATGCAATTTGTAGAAGAGATAAAGGGCTCGCTGAACTGAATGAACCGTGTTACACAATGAATCAATGAATTAGCCGATTTAATGTTACATTTAGCTCCGAGTTGCGTGAGTTTTCATCGCCTTTCACAATAAAGCACTTCCGATTATTTCGACCAGCTTTTTGTCCGAAATTTATATTAGCCTGTAATCCAGATAAGGAAATCGAAAAAAACTGTAGATATTACATTTAAAAAAATCCTTCAGGAATTAGTTGTGACACAGGTGTTTCGCAGAACATGGAACCGATTTATTCGCAAAATGATACGATATTTATTTATTCCGATTGGTTAAGCACAACTAAACCCGAAAGCGACTTTCCCTTCGCCACACGCCACACCCTGGGCTTACGAAGTTGTTGAAGATAGAAGAATGCAACAGAAGCAGTAGTGTGAAACTAGTCTGTATTGAAATATCATATCATATATATGTACAAGACTCAGTACACAACTGTTCACCATCAATGAGTTTCCAGTTCGGCATGTAAACTCGTATTGCCATTGACAGATTGAACTACGCCGTTCTGCTTGGTGTTTATTGTGGCCCCACCATGCATTTTTCTAAAACCGACAAAATACGGAAACAGTTATGATATCGGCGCAATGAGATCGGCCATGAAGAAAGCCAAATTAATCCAATTACTAGGAGCACGGATGCGGTTGCGATTTTGGCTAGTTACTGAGTTAATTAGAGAATTCAATGGCACGTTACATTTAGCTCCGAGTTGCGTGAGTTTTCATCGCCTTTCACAATAAAGCACTTCCGATTATTTCGACCAGCTTTTTGTCCGAAATTTATATTAGCCCGTAATCCAGATAAGCAAATCGAAAAAACTGTAGATATTACATTAAAAAAAATCCTTCAGGAATTAGTTGTGACACGGGTGTTTAGCAGAGCATGGAACCGATTTATTCGCAAAATGATACGATATTTATTTATTCCGATTGGTTAAGCACAACTAAACCCGAATGCGACTTTCCCTTCGCCACACACCACACCCTGGGCTTACGAAGCAATTTGTTCTTCCAGTTGTTGAAGATAGAAGAATGCAACAGAAGCAGTAGTGTGAAACTAGTCTGTATTGAAATATCATATCATATATATGTACAAGACTCAGTACACAACTGTTCACCATCAATGAGTCTCCAGTTCGGCATGTAAACTCGTATTGCCATTGACAGATTGAACTACGCCGTTCTGCTTGGTGTTTATTGTGGCCCCACCATGCATTTTTCTAAAACCGACAAAATACGGAAACAGTTATGATATCGGCGCAATGAGATCGGCCATGAAGAAAGCCAAATTAATCCAATTACTAGGAGCACGGATGCGGTTGCGATTTTGGCTAGTTACTGAGTTAATTAGAGAATTCAATGGCACGTGAGTACTCAGATTATCCATTATTATTAATCACTGTTCTTCACGGAGTCTGCTAATGACTAGGTTTGGATTCCGTCACTAAGGCCGCATGCGAAGAAGCTACCAATATGTTTATTAATATCCCAAATATTTGTGGTACGACAAGTCTTTAGAATGAGAAACAAGTGTCCGCCCTGATCTACGTCCTTCTGCTTAGTCACTTATGTGGACGGTCGCGTTCAGACTTCATCGGAAGGCTGCAGAGTCTGATCAAACTCAGGATTCTCGACAAGGAGGAGATAGCCTCTATGCAATGTAGAATGAGTCGCCTTGAATTTAGTACAGATGTGAAGCTAACATGAATGTGACAAAATCTCGTCAATCGTATGGTTTGTCGTTCCACAAATAATAAGGTGTAATGGTCGCTCAGCTGTGGTGTGGTATCTAGCTACCATGCCACCCGAAGGAAGCGCGAGGGTTGAGATACCACCAGGTTTCCCAAGCATAGACAGGAGCAGTTTAGATGACGGGGTTGGGTTCCAACCAGGAACCATTCGAGCAGTAAGTTCATGCCTTAACCACTCAACCATCTAGAACGCACATTTTGCGAGTCGTACAGTGCTGTAAAATATACAGCGTACCAGGTTTACGACACTGCTACCCCGTGGTATTATTCCGTGCCGGACAGGAAACGGACAAACCAAATTCAAATCAAGATCCCTAGGCTGTGGTTTCCTCTCGGCGCATAGCTGCCGTGAAACTTTGAGGAAACAAAAAACCCCAGAGAGGCCAGGACTGTGTTCAGATCACAGATTTTTCGGGAATTAGCTTGCAGCTTGACCCTGAACGAAGGTTAAAGGAAATACACTTTACAGTCCGGAGGGTAAGTTATAGTAAGTACGGATTTTTTGACCCAGAAACAACCAGCGCATCAGTCCCTACTGAGTGAATCCTGAGCATTCATCAAATTCATCGCGAAAAGCTCACACAAGAAGCAGCTGACTGCTAGACTGATATGCAAACCACAGTCCACAGAGAACAGGACTTACTCAAACTCCTCGGTCAACAGTGGGAGCAATTGTGACGCAGGAGATTCCTGGCTTCCGGAACAAATAACTTTCGACATATTGTCAATTATGGTACGGAACTGCGCAGCGTGTGAAACAGGACTGTAAAATGGAAAAACCAGTATAAATTAGGCAACACAGCATGGCATTTATAGTTTCCGAAGTTCTGTCTTGTAGGGACACGGATGTCTACACTAATAGCTCCGAAAAGTGCCCCCCTATGAGCCAAGTTTATTGTACTGGCAATTGCACACTCTTTAATTTGAGTGCGCCGCCCCAAAGACTTTGGATCGACGGCGTCAAGCAGTACTACAGTTATAATCGAAGGCCAAAATTCCGACCAGGTAGGCGATAAATACGGCATAACACGTTATTACATAAGATTCGAATGGTTGCGAAGAAATCCAGAAGCAACGGGTTCCATAAAGGGGGCTCTGCAAACGAACCGGAATGTGTGGAAATGGAGAAATTAGTCCAGTTGCAAGCACCATAGTATCAGGACAGCCGAATAAGCAGCAGACAACTGTTTGGTGACAAATGCTCACTAAAAATTGCGTTGTCTCTGGCTGCAGGAGCCCTTGATTGATGCAGTCAACATGCATCCTCATCTGAGTGTTGCTCAAAGTGGTACGTCAAGTGTTGTCTAACAAGCGGCGAAGAGTGGATTCCGCGACGGAGCTGGCTCGGTCACGTAATGCAGCGCACCCGATTTAAGGCAACTCAGAATATCTCAAAGGGTTGAGTAAGCGGAATATTCAAACCGGAAAAACGATGCGCAGCTATTGGGATCTACAAAAGCACGGCTACGCAACAACAAGGGATGCTCGTTGGGTTCGCGATATCCATGGCTCGTAAGAATAATTCAGTCGTGAAACTTGGCTGCAAACTCTGCAGATGCTCCAATGAAACATCGGTTTTGCTTTTGATGGTAGTGATAACGTCCCGAATGCTTTGACAGACAAGTCGCGATACGGAACAATTAGACGTAACCTAGGAGCACGTGACCCTGCTCACAATACCTGTCAAATGCGTAAGACAGCTGGGCATTCGATTTCATATTTGCATTCAGCCAGATCAGATGAGCTCGGGACACAATGGTTGTGTTGTATCTGACTAAGCCAACCATTCGAATAGACTTATTTGACAGCCAGACCCTTCGGACGTCGACGTTCATTGATTGATTCGGCAATCCGGACAAAAGCGATTGGAAAGAGCTTGGTTCGAAATGAACGACGTATCACGATAATCCACATCTCGATTATCGCCGAAATTCACATTATGAACCAGACGAAAGACGTATCATGTGCACAATGTGTACGATGCACGGGATGAGCAAATTCATTACCTGGCCCAAAAGCAACAAGTCTACGGCCAAGTAAGGGTAGGCGGGAAACGCACCAACAAGCAATTGGCATTCGAAGCAAAAAACAGGATAAAGGTCATTTAGGTCAAGGTAGAGAAAGTTTAGATTAGCAGCGATAAGAAAGCGGGATCTCTACAGAACCAATGATGTGCTGACGGAACCCCAGATCGAGATTGGTCGGGGGATTTCATGGTGAGTAAATTAGGAGGCGGAAGTCGAGTAACCTAGAGGGGTTGGGATGCAGTTGGAAAATGTCAAACACGCGTGTAATGTTTGAACGGAAAGATAATTACTGATTTCACGCACGAGCTGGTAAATATACACCTTCATAACAACTCGCCTCTATCAGTATATTGCTGATTGATTCTAGCTTATCAATAATATACAGCCTGAGCCCGAATGCGCTGCCATCTGTCGCTCATCTGTTAATAACGACAGCACGCATGAATGGACCACTAAATCCCAGTGAAAAATGAATATGAATTCGACGCAAACATAGTTATTTCAAAATGGCAGCCTGGACTAGAGTAGAACGATCGGAGGTGGTTGTGCCGATTTCCCGTACTTGATTGTTTACACTGAATGACTCAACCGGTTTGATTTAGTGTTCTGTATCGATCAGGTGAGTGACATTGCCACTTATCATATGTTTGGTTGCTTCAGTTTTTAAGCGGATCTACAAAAACCGCTTGATTACTTGAGATACGCAACGAGCCGTTCGACACACATAGTATTCGGAACATCTGAAAAGAAATACATAGATAGACATGGAAGAATCGTGGACCGGTACCTAACCCTTGGATCAGTATCGAGCGATAAGCCAAGTGCAGTGACCATAACTATGATGAACAAGTAGAAAATCAGGATAAAGTATCAGGTATATATATATATA